ACTGGATCCCAACATGCGTTCCACAACAGTTAGCAGTTTGGGAGGTTGGAGGTTCTGTATCTTGTTACACCATAAACAAAAGATCTGTTGCCATTTTCAACACCTATCCAATGTCCGCGCCTTAAAGCGTCCGTTCTTAAACTCGCTAATATTTGTCAAAATGCAGTTTCAGGATATAGGGAGGGAACACAAAAGTTGAGCCCTTCCAAGAGCACAACTATGCGGCCGAAAAATTATGTGAGTATCTGCTGTGTAGTGTTTTTTTTTTTTGTTTGTTTGTTTTTTTTTTTTGCCAGGATGGCACCCTGTTACCCAAGGTCAACTACCCAGTTAGAATCTTTGCGAAAGGTTACTTGGCCGCCATTTTAATGTCGTTTGATTACAAATTAGATACTGAATTAAATAGTCAAATTACATTTTGATAATGAAGAAACTGATCTGATCTTAAAATAAAGAGGTAAAATGTATATTTCTTGTCTCAGTTTAAACGTTCATGACTCAACGGACTTGTGACATCAGGAGCAATAAATTATCTACTGTTGAAATAGATGAGAAGACAAGACTGACCAACGAACGAATACTAATTATGCAATATAATTCCTAAAATGGAAACTTGCATTCGCATCATACAATTTTTTCAAAATACTTTGACCAATGATCTGCCCTCTGAGAGCTTTTGTGGCAAAACATTACAATGTTGATCTCACTGATCTCGTTTACAACTGAACAGGAAAAATAAAAAAAATCTTTTATTTTGTTGCAAAAACTGTTCATATTTTAAAAAATTACTATAAAACAATTAATTTAGAGTATTTTTGGATGAGAGAGTGAAAGCATGGTAGTCCGGTGAAAAAAATTAAATATTCTCATTTGGAAGAGATTCAACTTTCATCGCTTTCTTAGGAACTCGTTCTCTGCATTTAGCTATTTTAAGATTCTTCCGCAATTCAGTAAACAATTTTGAGGACTGAACTTGTTTCGAAATGCCGAATTTTTTTTAAGTGTTTATGAAATCTCTCCCTTTCATAAAATGTTACTGATTTATTGCCGTACTTTACATTTTCATGGAGAAGGAATTTTGTTTTGCTTCCAATAACACTAGAGAACAATTCTAATCACTTTCTCCATTTTGAAATGTTTCATAAAAGTTAGCTTTTTCATCTCTGAGAAAATAGTTCCTTCATAAATCGCGCCGCCTGTTCCAGTATACGTATTTCTGGTTTCGGTTTAATATCTGAGATAAAGAAAGCAATTCGCTGATTCTGGACACATCATGTGAGATCTGAGACGGGTAGAAGAGAGTTTCTCTAAGGACAGTGGCATCGCAGTAAAGAACCAACACGTTGGAACAAGTTTGAACCAGTTTCATTGCGGTGCTGACGTATCATCTTTGAAACTAGGACCATTGTGGTTCTTTTTTCCTTTAATCGTGTAATAGGGAGGTTTTTTTGATTTTTCGATTCCTACCAGATGTCTCCGATGCGGTTTGAATGGTCATCATGTCGCCATTTTGACGTCCAATATCGATTGTCTTTTATTCATATCTTGTATGCGAAGCCACAAACCAAACATTATACCACATCAGTTTTTCTTTAGTTTACTTTTTCCATTTATTCATTTTGTCTCTTTTTTAGAAATATTTTCAGGATCCAATATTTCGTTGCATGGGTCCACATCCTGTAAGGATTCGTTTTATCACTTTTCACTTAGAAATATTGGTGCCGTCGGCGCCTGCAAAGAAATACAGTGATACAGCAAAATTAGAGATTTAAAATCTCAGTAAACCTGTTGTTATCGGATAGGAAATCATCTAAGCTAGGGCTACACGATCTTTAGTCTTTTGGAGTAATACACAAAATATTAGTACAATAGATATTTCTTTCTTTTGCATTTTTCGTAGCATGTTCCAGAATAATTAAAGACATGTTATTGCAGATTACATTTTTATACTTTAATTTTTTTTTAATTTAATTTTTTTTACTTCATTCTTTTTACTTCATACACCACACAAAAAATACCGTCATTACCATTGAAGAAAAAATTGGGGCAAAATTTTTCTATTTTTAATCAAATCGTAATTAACTTCGCTCGGGAGTAAACAAGTACGATCTAGTTTTGTAGTTAAAAACTAACACAAGTTTACTATATCAATGTTTTCTCAGAAGACAACTGCATTTTTGAAATGAAAAAAATAGCAAGTTGAATAAAATATTATCTGTAAAATGATAATATAGGTGATATCAAATTCCATTTGCGGTCAATATGCCTTTCCGAGTCAGAAAACTACAAATATCGGCTACTTGGATAAGACTTCGCGTTTTAGTTCCCTTTCATTGTGAAAAGAGAAAAGGGTATCACCAAATAATTGATAAACTAATAAGAATCTTTAGAAGTTAGTAAACTGTTGAACTCAATGGGAGTAAAATCCATCAAAATGGCTGTTTTCAAATCCAGATAGAGGAAATTGTATCTGAGTGTTAATCGACCGTGAATGAAGGATTAAAATCGATTCTGGTTACAGCTGAACAGTCGAAATTTGTATTAGCAATTATTAATTAACGCCAGAAATGTTCTGAACGACGAAATTAAATAAAAGCCTATTTGCCACTTTTCCAGAAAAGCCATTGTCAGAGCTTACGAAAGTATCACAGAGACAAAAAGTGTATAATTTAATTACGTACACGCGATCTATTAGACAGATAGTGGTTGTTAAGGCTTCAACTCTGAAACGTGTGGTGCTTAAGTTTCTCAAGTTTCTTTGTCATTTTTTATTAGCTGTCGAACACTAAAATTAGCAGCATTTTTTAACGATACAAGAAAAAGTAATGCAAAAGCCATCAAACTGACTATCTTCAAGCGATTTTATAAATACGTGATGTGAAGTGTAAAATCTCAGACTTTTTTTTAATTTCCTTAAGATAACTAACTGCCGAACTCAATATTTAAATATATTGGTTTGCCCTAAATGAAAAAAAAATCAAGAGTGCTAGATTTTGTGGCCAAAAATTGCATTATACCGTTGAAATAAGTCACAAAGTGCTCTTAGAATTTTTCCTTTTTCTTAGGCCCATGGTATGCAGCAGATGGTGATTGTATTGTATTGATACGTTCAATCGAAGGGGTAGTGACGATTTGCGTCGATTTTCTCTTTCTCTTCGTAAACCAAGGGATTTTTTTTTTTTGACCAAACTAAAGAAAAAGACATCGCTAAAGAGACTTAGCGAAGTTGTATTTTTTGTTGAATTAAGCAAAGGACTTTCCATTCATATGTGGATATATATATATATATGGACTAAAGAAGGCGAATATAAGTCTGAGATAACCATGTTTTATGTGATTACCTCGTGGGAAATTTAAATTGCGAATACTCAACTAAAGAAATAGACATTGCGAAAGAGGCTTCACGAAGTTGTATTTTTTGTTGAATTAAGCAAAGGACCTTCCATTCATATGTGCATATATATATGGACTAAAGAAGGCGAATATAAGTCTGAGATAACCATGTTTTATGTGATTACCTCGTGGGGAATTCAAATTGCGAATACGTTGCTAGCCATGCACCTTATGTTTCTTTCGGCTTCTGCGAATCCCAACATTTTAAAAATTAATTCCCTTCGATTTTGAAAACTTTCCACCAATTAATCGAAACAACCAAAGATAAACGAGTCTCCATTTCAAAATTTGACATGTTAATTTTTTGAACATGAAAATGGTATATTTTGTCTTTCTCGAAGTTTCTCGGCCAGCTCCCCTGCTTGAAATCGGGTAATCCCTTACAGACGGAAACCGAACCGAGAACTTAATTCCACGAACATTCGATATCAAATTGTCCGGCTTGTCAGGATGGGGCGGGTTCTCATTACTTTTTCAGCAAATTGCATTTACCAAATTTAGATTATGAATCAATATCTGTCACAATCTGGAGTCATTTGATTTCGTGCACAGAATAAAGAAGAAAGCAGAAAATGGGGAAAGGTCATTCAATAAGTCAATCCTTATTTAACAGAATTTCTCCATTGTTTGAATGAGAACAAAGCGGCTTGATTATGACTTATTGTAGATTCTATGAGGTATTATTCAACTCCTCTATTTTCATTTACGCCATACCATCTGCTTCTCACCCAAAGTAAAACTATAATCTAAGTTTGCTTCTACCAACGCCGAAAGTCATCAAATAAGATTTACTCTTAAATGTCTAAACAAGTAGACATTATCAGCGGCTTGATTACAGCACAGAACAATGCTCTGGCATTGCTTCATTTAACCCAATCCTTTTGGTAATAGCTTTTCGTCGCAGCTTCCAATTATCCCCTCGCCACAAACTGCTAGCCCATAAAAGTGTTGTCACAAGAACTGAAAGGTTACTAACGAGCATTATTGTGTTGGTGTGATTATGATGCATTTGAAGGTGAAAGATCATTTTGCAAACGGTCTGTCTTTTGAAGATTTTCTTGGTAATTGTGAGAATATTTTAGACAATCTACCTTGACAGGTGACTTTAGTGCGGTAGACGCGAATGACAACATTTATTCAACTGTGTCGCGTGCGGCTATCGGGTTCTCTCTCTTGGTTTACCGTACTCTACATGTCAGAGAAGCTACATTTAAGAAATGTAAATAGGCGGTTAAACATCAGATGAGACGCCATGCGGGAACGAACGTCTTCACTCGAGTTTTAATGCTTTAGTACAACTTTGCAACATTATATGTGTCCTGCTCTTAAGAAATGACGTTTACTTTACCAAATTATTACTTTTAATATTGACTGTTAGTTCAAGAGAAATCCTACACACTTCCGAACGCAAAAGCTTACACGGAAAATCATGTCACTTTTCATCTTGAGTCGTTTAATTAATTTTGCCATGAAGCAAATATGTTCTCTTGTATACCACACAAGGAATAAATAAAATTTTTAACATGTAAAAGGAAAGCGATGAAATGGGCTGGTGTTGTCCGGATCTTCTCGTAATTATCAGTTCTCAATATTCTCACCTGCCGTATGATCCCATGAGGTATTCAATGCAAATTAGCAATCAACAGTATATATTCCCTGCATAGAGCCGAACTGAACACGTTTGTATCAACTCATTCGAGTGCCTTCCTGGTAACATTTACTTTAAAAAAATTCCGGTGAGTATTGGGTACCTTTATTACTCTAAAGAAATAGAGAAAATGTACTAAAATTATCATAAACTTCGAATGAGGTGTCTAATGGCAATTTTTTAGGGAGGAATATTCAAAAATGTAACTGTGAACATCATCATTAGAAGGTCATGGATTTTCTGAAATTTAATGTTTAAACTTTCGCTTGTGTTTTGAAGAAGACACATGTATATTGGCGTTTTATGATCACAGTCTGCCATAATAGCTTTAAATTTATAAGTCCTTTATCGAACCGTATACTAACATAGCAAATTCTAAGTACGATGCTTTAGTCAAAATGGTTTTTTATGATCAATTTTTAAAGGTGCATTTTCTAGTTTCAAACTTATTTCTTGTGCCCATAATATAAGACGCAAACAGAGGGAGAGAACTGTCTAACAATTACATTTAAGTTTAATAATTTTTTTGGCGGATACGGAGTATTATCATCGGCCGAGATACAGCGGTAAATTCTCTGTATGGTGCCTCATTCTAGCTAATAATACGGATAAGTGATCCACTGAGATAACACACGGACTCCTCACTTAAAGCTGGAATTCCGAGGTGTAGAAAATGTCTATTTGCTCATGTTTTATCTCCGATTTGGAAGAAATGAAAATGAAATGAAGTAAAAATAACTCGTGACCTTTAAATTAACGTATATTTCTTTATTTTTTCCACACTTGGTAGTTCTCCTTTACCGTAAAAGTGTTATAGTTGACTTTGTGGTCTACAAACGTACCGTGCTTAAAAATGATAAATTTGAAAAAAGCCCAGTTTCTCAGGGGCAAAAGTTGCTTGCCGAAGCCAGGAACAACTGTGTTTTCAATTATTATGTCCAGCTGTCAAAAAACATGTGGTGAAATAATCTATCCAAAGAATGTGATAACTAAAAATGTCCCAGATAATTTTCACCAGTCGTAAAAAATATTTCTACAAAATAAACCGAAAAGACATAGAGATGAAACTTTCCCGTTATTTTTCTTTATTTTTTTAAACTAGACAATTAATGGAAAATTTTTCCTTCATACATTTTGTACTAAATTTTAGGAATTAATAAAAAAATCGATATTTTCCTATTGAAATTTATAATGTGTATTCTTCTAGGAGGGGCATGATAAATAGAAATCGAATGAAGATGCCTACGCCTTTTTGATTTTCTTCTCCTTGTAATCTATATTTTTTCATGTTCCTTAATGAATGATATTATGAGCTAAGAAATTATTCACGAAAACTGACTCAAAACAGACGTCATTTTCAAAACATGAAGATTGCAGCACCTTTTTGATAATTGGGATAAAAAAAAAAAGACAGAAAAAAAATGAATCTGAAGAAAAGCAGGTCAACCGAATAAGCTGCAGATAACCTAATAAAACATTTATGCATTTTTGCAGGCTTAGATGGTTTATAAAATTCTTCTCCAACAGTCCAAACTATAGTTGGAGATTATAACGTAATTTACATAAAGTTGTTTGTTTACTGAAATGTTGGTGCTTTCTAAACTGAGTAGGCACAGAAAAGTTCCCAACCGCAAAAACGAATTACATTGCAGTGTCAAGGGCATCCAACTTGAAATGGAATAATTATAGATTAAAAGAGATTTCGATTAGTTTTCGTGCATACAACGAAAATATGGACAAAATTGCATGACACTTTTGACCAAAGTCGTCTCAAGCCGTAAACAATGTTTCGTTTACCTCATCTTGCACTTGAGTTTCAATCTAAACCAAATTCACTGTTACAATTTAACCGTGCATAAGGCAAGAAATATTACCAAAAACATTAGGAAGTCAAGCATTCCCCTAAAACCATTAGTTTTTTTACTTGACTGATTTTTATTTTCATCCCATACTTTGTTATATTCAGAGTATTGTAAGCTTCATAAAATTATTATTGATAAATTTGTCTGTGCACATAATTACATACTTCCTGTTATTTGGTGTAGAAAAAGTAGTCTCCCCACTAGCTAAGGATTAAGCCTCAAAAGATGCTATATAATTTCTGATTTGCCTGTATCCCTTCGAATCAATAAAATATATTATATAAATCAGATTAACAGAACCTTATTACACTATATTTCGTACTTAACCGCCAAGTTACGTTTGCAGAGAAACTCGGTAAAGGCTTATTTGTCTCAATACTCGCCGAAAAATAACTGTGTGCTTATTTTTATAATAGGCCACCGTTGTGTGTTAATATTTTGGTTGCATTCTTTTCTTATGAAACAGAATGGCAGTATTTAATTTACTCCTTGAATAACAACAATGGTGATATTTAATTTCCTCAATTTTTCGATCAATACAAATATTGTTATTAAAAACAATTTATTTTCTTTTTCTGTTTTTTTTTTTCCGATGAAAATGAGTATAGCTTTGAAAACTTTACCAAAATAACGTCTGGTCCGTAAAAACCATCATACGTAATTGAGGTCAAATTAAGAGGTTGTATACGTGCTCGACGTGGGAACAGCTCAACTTAAATCCCTTAAAAACGCTTTCACTCGGTTTCTAATTACCGCACGTAAAGCATCAAGCGTTAGTTGATTTAATTGAATGTTTGTATATTTCCACGTGTAAAGTATGGTTACGACTAACCAATTGTTGTTTTTTTCTTTTTATTTTTCGGATTTCGTGTGGTATAATCTATTTCGTGCTGTGCGCTCGCTTTGCGCAGAATTGAAATTACAACCACAAACTGACGGAATTGAATATTTATTGATACTAGAGAAGAAAGATATGCCTTTGGAGAAAAGAAATCATTTAGCCACTTCGGCTTCGTATCTTTGTAAATGCGTAGGATGACCAAGATTCTCAAATTAGACCACACTGTTTATTTCCTTCAAAAACATGGATCTTCCAACAATAGATTTTTTGCTTGGGGCTATCCTTGCTAAATAAGAATACCTCGTCTGCGAAATTCATAATTTAATTGAGTTTAGCTCACGAAACTGCATACCTAATGCTACTTGGTAACGCGCAAAAATTCATGACTACTCGGCTCTCTAAATAATTTTTCTTTTTTTTTTCTTATTTTTCAGTTTCCTCWTTWYSRTRRTTMGMWWTTRRMYAKCCRRCSAYSCKYATACAGCATTTAACATTTGAAAAGGGCTAAGATACTTTACAAATTGTGCCTTTTTAAACAATTGGGTCTCCTTTCGTAAATTTTGACATCTTAGGCTTATAGGTTTGTACTTTCCCCTTGGAGTTTTTTTTTTGTCTACTCCAGCAAAGAAAGGCAATTCCTAATTACACCAAACTGAATCGGTCACATAACCGTCCTGATAAAAGTTTTAATGTTTTCAGAATGTGGTTTTCTTATTTTTCCCTCGATCGGACGGTGGAAGATTTTAAGTTAAGAATCGATGTTGACTGACATGTCATTTGACTTGTTATTTCTAAAAAAACAATAGGAAGAAAAAAAATTCGTACTGTTCCCGTTGAAATGAAAAAAAGGGCACTTCCCCAATTTCTCACGCACCTCTAGATAAACATAGCTACACTTGCTCTCCCAGCTGCAAATGAGAAGATATATTACCATGGTCACGAATTTCAATTCACTCATTTCATCTCTCGACACAGGAGATGCATGATTTTACTTTACTTCTCTGAATGCGTAATTGATGATCATTCCATTAGCAGAACGCCAGCTTTGAAAATTAGATGTGAAAAAATAAAGACTGCAAAAGCCAACTCCAGTATACCTTTTTTAATTGTTCCAAAGCTGTGAAATTCAAATTGAGTGCACAAATGTGTCATCTTAATCTAGAAAAAGCTATCATTTTGTGCACGCATTTACGGCAACTTTCATTAGATAACATAGAAAACCACCAACGCCCGTGAAAAGCCATGATCATTAGCAGTAATATTCTCCTTGTCATTCGTTCAGTTTATCAATGAGAAAATCTTTCAAATATCATGAACGAAAGCCAAATTGGGGAGACACATTCATAATGATAACAATGCATGTAAATTAGTTTCAGTAGGAGTTGGTGGAGTTATAAAGGCCGACTACCACATCTGTTCGTAAATATTTCCTGAAGCTAACAAACGGAGTAAATTTAACTCAAGGATCTCCATCTAACCCATGTACGTTTTTCGTTAAATGAAAGAGACAACACAGTCAAGTATTCCTGTTAAACTATTCTAGTACTCTTTATTTACCACTCTCTTGCGTCTTAATTTTTGTTATTGTTATTTTTTTTTTACCTGCATTCTCCTGGTCGCGGAACAACTTTTATTGATTAATAATACTGATTTCTCGGGCTTATTTACGCCACTAACCATACTTTTCTTCGATTCTTTTTAGAGAGCACTCTTTTCGCTGCTTGCTTTAGAAGACAAAAGAAAAAAAAACAAAGTAAGTACATATCACTGTCACATCCCTGGAGGTCTATTGCAATCCTCGTTTTTTTTTAATGTTATCCCCGTAAATGCCACTTTGATCATTGTGAGTATTGACTGAAATCCTCAAGATGCTTTCCACAATTTCATGGTAATATTCTCATGGCGATAGAAAGGATTTTGAATGATTTTTTCGGTTCAAACTTTTATTTCTTTAATCGTCTTCTAAAATAAAGAATTTTGCGGAAACAAAAGCAAACATGCAAAACCCAAACATTTGTAAATTAGTCAGAGAGCCACCTTGTGAAATGACGAAAAGGATTAGGAAAACCCAATGATTTAAAGGCGATAAAACTATTGATTGAAAAACATCATATAAGAATACTATGCTCTTTTCACGTTCATGGGGTGCTTTTGTCGGTAAATTTCTTATCCAGGTCTCATTTTTTTATACCTACTAGAAACAATATTTTAACTGAAGATAAAATTTTGGTCTGAGTGGCATTAAGTTATTGTTTTAATTCATAGCTGACACATCCTCTAATTAAACAATACAGTGTTTCTGCCAAGGAACTATCGGCTGATAGTTGCCCCGCGGAAATTCTATGTTCTTAAAACAAATATTTGCCCGAGAAGCGAAGCTTCGAAGGCAAATATGCTAGTTTTAAGAACATCAAATTTCCAAGGGGCAACTATCAGACCGATAGTTCCGAGACATAAACACTCTATTGTTTTTATTGTTCACCACTAAATTTTCTTCCGCGCCTACAGCTTGTCACAAATGTCAATAATTCGCAACCGTACATTGGCTAAATAATACGTTATACCTGTCAGAATTGAAAAGTCACTGTTTTTCCGATCTGCCTAACTTCGCGACCGTCAAACTATTCAAAACTTTTCACGGATGAGTACTATCAATCCAGGTATTTTCCGCGGACAGGCACTATCCATCCGGGTATTTTCCGCGGGCGGGCACTATGGGCTGATAGTGTCTCTCCACGGATGAACACTATCGCGTCATGTGATCGATTTAAACAAATAAGAACCGGAGAAAATCTAGTGGGGAACTATAACAGCTGTTAGTGCTATATTCTGTAATATAATAATCAGAGCTCACACTTGCTCATTCTACTATGTCTTATTGATTCTAAAAGTTCTTCATAAACCTCCAGCAGTATATGACTTTTTTTCTTGACTGATGTATCTACTGAGAAATTAAAGCTAAAGTTCTGCTTAAGACAAAAAAGGCTCGTGAATTTAACGGTAAAAAGTTCCGCTTTAACGTAAGCTCTCTATTTGAATCTTCAACAAGTTACCTTGTTAATCATTTCGATGACTTAAGACTTCTTGTGATTGGTGGGATTATGAATCCTATATATTGAGGTTACCGTTAGGGCGTCACGAAGAAAGGCAGGCCATTTTCCCTGAAATGAAAAGTTTTGTTGATTTATTTGAATTAAACATGCTTTGAATAAGTTCACGGTAGCTTTTCATACGTTTACGAGGTTGGCTTTGACGAGGAGATCTTGTTCGAGTGTCATAACAAAACTGCTATTCTACATACTTTGCATCTCGTGGAGGGTCAGAGTAGTCAGGAACACTGGTTTGATTTCGTCAAATAGAGGCTCACTGAGAACCGTTTTGCGTATGGTTAGTGAGAGCGAAGAGACGATGACGATGATAATTAAAACGATGACGATGATGATGATTATAACGAGACAAAGGCAAGCTCAAGGACATAAAAGAATCGGCTTACATCAAATTAAAGTCTAGATCGCTTAGGATCGCCATTTCGTCGCTCTGATTTCCGACGGTATTTTTACCTGTCGTACAGCGCAATACCTGCCCATATCTCCCAGGTTTTGTTGCCTTAATGTTGTATAATGGCGTGATAGTGGAATGAAAATATAGTAATTGGGAATAATAGCTGTAGGTAAAGTCAATGCTTAGGTGAATGAGATCTCCTTGATATATCTTTCCAGGAGTATAGATGACTAAATTGTCCAATTCATAAAGTACTGGACGGAAAAGAAAATCAAGTTTAGGTTATATAGTAGCATTATAGTTGCCTGCTAAAGCAGATGCCTTTTCCAGACTTTTGTTTCGCACGCTGGAAAAGAACTGGCTAGGATATTACGATATGTAAAATCGAAATAAAGGCAACTTTTCTTCTAAAAGTCACCTCTGCACTAAGAGCTACTATTGCTATTTTGGAATCAATCATCCTTTTCTCTCATTACAGATGAAGGGAGCAATTGTTGTCCTCACTGTTGTGATGCTGATGCCTGTGATTGATGCTAATGATTATGGCCCCTGCTTGGTTGGATGCTCAACTACTCATACCACGTGTACTCTCAATACAGCGGTGTGCCATGACTTTGACTCCTGTAATCATAATTGCTATAATGCCTACGAGAGTTGCGCAAACGCATGCAAAAGGAAGAGAGAATTGTTGTCGAGGTTTTCTCTCGAAGATGATGATTTAGACACTTTCTTCCGTTAGAATGAAAAGCCCGAGATGATATAATTAGTTTTAAATCCGCATTTAGCTCTTAAGAAAGTTTTCATTTTCCCTTTCTGGTATCCGTTTCTCTGTAAATTTAATTTACTAGCACTTTCAAGAAAAAAAAATGGGCAAAGGGAGGTTTACCTTTATGATTTGTAAAATTTCCCTCTAATTTACAAAAACATCAAGCGTGACAAAAGCTCGCCAAAACCAAATAAAAGTTGTGTTATCTGACCGAGTGTATCGTACCCCATCTGGTGCAATGTATATATGTTTGAAATACACTGGACACGCAGCAACTAATACAAATATCAGTTAGGCCAGCTATCAGACATTTAAAAATTTTTCTTTGGTCAATCCACAAATGTATTTGCAAAATGCATTCATTTGGTCTAAGTTTTCAAATTTTGTGAAGATCTTAGCTTTGTAGGCTCGAGCTCAGGCGAATCAATGACGCATCAAAAATGTAGAGGCAGTTGGACAGTCAGACACACAGACAGATAGACGAACAAACATAAAGCTGGATATACAGACCGTAACAAAGACAGACTGCACACTGACTGAATGACGGTCATAATTTGGATATATTAACAAAGTTGAAATGGTAAATTGGCCACCGTAACGATTACAAAAGCTGACGTTTCGAGCGTTAGCCCTTCGTCGAAGCGAATGACGGTCAGACTGAGAGCCTGAAAAACAGACAGAAACTGAGACAGACAGATAGACTTACTGACTCACAAACAGACAGACAAACAGTGAGGTAAACAACTGACTGAAAGATTATGGATTGCCTGAGTTACAGACTGACTGACCTACTGACTGACAGACACCCAGCTAGACTGATTGATTGAACGAGTGATTGACTGACTGAGAGAAACACAGACTGACTTAATGACAGACTGATTGACTAACTGAATGCCGGGATGGCTGGCTGACCGTTTGTCCGAATGACAGGCAAATAAACAGACTGCATCGATAAGTTAGGCTGCAGCGATGGTAACTTAGCCTCGAAGGCTTGTGAACGTTTTCGATCTGAAAGTTATCCAGCTTACTCTGTTTTACGAGGAGGTTGTGGTTGTTTAATTAGGAGAGAAGAGGATGGGGAAGGGCTTACCAAAAACGAAGTGATGGAACAAAACGGAAATCTCTGCTTTTCTTCAAGTTGTCGCCCAACACTATGCTCTGATACCTAAAATATTTATAGCGGAAACTAAAAAGTCTTCAAATACAAGTATATTGTATCCTGAAAAGCTATTCAGCATCAACGAACAGCAATACTAATGAGAAGCTCCTCAGAAAGGGTGCTAACGGCAGCTGCTAAATCTCCGCTCAGACGTGAGTTTTTTCTTCAGTAAAGGTGCGGGAGCGTGTTTTTTTCAACTTAAAAGTGTTATGATATTTGCAGCGAAAACGCCTAACCAAGCTTCAACTTTATTTTTCGACACTCGTAACCTGCTGATGAACGGAAATGATTTGAACATTTCTTCAATTGTATATTTCTGTGAGATGGACAATATCCTAACCTGTGATCTAAACATTACCTGTGACCTCCAAAACATGAATCCATAAGGCGAGGCCCTAATATCGTTGGGTGCTTTCAAAAATGCAACACAGCTAATACATAAGCAAGCAACAGTTTCAAAGACCTCCTGCAGTCTTTTAGATGTCATTTTATTATCAAACACTGAATTACCTCAATGGACAGTAACCCCTCCTTATACGTTGCAGCATCGAGTCTCAAAGAACGCAAGCAACTTCCGAGTTATATGGTTGACCTACATAGACCTAAACCCACTTGCAAAAGTATTTGAGAGATCGATGTTACCATGACAAGAGAACATTGTTCACCATGTGAGCCGACATAATGTATCCTTCCCGCTCTCCGCTTTGCAATGTTGATAGCTAATCAGTATCATCAGGAGCTCCTGGTATCATACAAAACTTTGGTGATCAACACTGAATCGGGGAAGGGGGTAGCTTTTTTTTATTTTACCTTTTATTTCTTCTTGCCCATCTGATGAAACCGGTAAACGCACTTTTTGCTCAAGTTGTACCAACATTTTTGCAACTCTTTGTAACAATTTCGAATACCTCTGTACAAACAGATGTAATATATATGTCTACTCCTTAAATTTTGTCCCCCCTTAAGTGAAAGTCCGTACAAAAACGACGAAGGGTCAATATTCCCTAGCCTGGGTCGAGCAAGCTAGGTTAGTTAGTAGTTTCATATATGGTACTCACACCAAACTTGTTTTTGCGTCTTTTTTTTAATACTATTATTATTTTCTGGATTTTCGAACAGAACTTTTCTGGCTTTGCGACTAATAATACAGGGCTTTAAAGTTTGTAGCTGTTGAAATGGAGTAAACGATAAAAACAAAGAAAAAATATGCCAAGTTTATTCAATTCCATACTATTTATAACAAGTAATAGGTATAATGATGATAGGGATAACGACAATAATAATAATATTAATAATAATAACTTATTATAATTATATTAACAGAAAACAATTTTAAATATAGTACATCAATTTTTACCGAGAAATTTTCCTTTGGTTTGTTTGGAAGGATTTGTGGTTTTGTAATCACTTTTAACTTTTAAACGGAAAACTGATAAGGGCTCAGAACATTTTGCGTCTGTCATTTCACCTTTTGCACATCAAGGATTTTTAAGAATTCCTAAACCATTGGAAGGTAAAAGGAGGCCGATCACTCGATGCTCGATAACTGAATTACGGCCGGACAAATGGATATTGAAGTAAGTAGTATCTAATGGAACTAAGTTCCCGATCTAATGAAACTAAGCTACCATCCAATTGAGCTGTATACCAACTAATTGCATCCATTTTTATTACAGGGTGCCTCTCCTCACCAAAAGGACACCGAACGCATAGTAACAATTCAGTCTCCTGTAATAGAGGGAATTCTAGTATTAAGGCAAATCAAATCGTGCTGTTTTTCTTTCAACTTTACGATAAATAAATAACTGGAAATAAATGAATAATATGTACTTCTTGGTTGAGTGAGTGGGCCGGAAGGGAAAATATTTGCCTTGAGGTCATGACGTGCTGACCCAGCGCAGCGAGGTATGTACACCAAATATTTTCCCATCCGGCCAGACCTCACTCAGTCAATAACATGACTTTTACGCCTTAATAATGATCAAATCATGTTTAAACTTAAATAGGACACGATTATCTACATAAGAAGGGCGCGCGCTGGACAACTACAAAAGTGAATTCTACATCCTTTATTCTTTACTTCCTCATTTCTGTTTTATTTTAAGTTGAAATCCACCATTAAAATTCACTCTCGGAAAACTTGACAGATCGGGGCCGAACGGCTTTTTGCGGACCGACTCACGTCAACCCATCAGGCTTTACCCTTCAGGCTTTACACGTCAGCTGTTATTATGGTAACTACTACTTTCAACACGCCCTGATTTCCTAACTCCGTAAGGATTAGCGAAGTTCTATTCAACCACGAGCAGCCGACGAGAGATCAAATGGCTTCTTGTTTAGCTACGGTTACAAAACACGAAAGACTGTTACACGAATTCTAAAATAGGGCAACGAACCTTGGATTGACAGCATCTTTCCGATTTTTCATCAAAAGAAAGAACCCAAAAAGTTACTGTTGAATACACAGGTTATAGGAGTCGAAGATAAGCATCCAATGCATCGCAGAATTGTTTCAAGACGAGATAGGACAATGAATGAATTGATGTGCTGGTAGATAACAAAAAAAATGCTTTCATAAGTTTTATTTATCCGAAGAAAGCGAGGCTCGACTTTTTATATGGAGACATTATTTACCCACGAATGAACATCGCCCGCTGAAATTTTTTGATCAGATTAAATTTCGATCACATAGTGATAAGAATAGAAAATATTTTCTGGGTCCGCCACTGAGTTATTTCGCTTGTGTGCATGGAATATCATTACTCGAACAATTATTCACCACAGTGTCGGTAAAAGTAGAGATTACCTGACCGGCGACGCTTCACGGGTCAGTTAATATTCACAATTATTGGCTTACTCTTTAGTGAATAATTGTTCATTGTATTTGCATTTAGCCCGCATGACCAACAAACGTTCTCTAGCTAGAAGACCAAAATGAAACAAGGTTTAAAAAACTCGAAAAAAAGCTAGTTGATTGTTTGTATATTTTAAGAAGAAAAATTGAAAGTTGACAGGAACTAGTAGGTTTTCAAACAGAGTACTTTTGAAAAAACGCAATAATACATTGTCTTATCATGAAAAGAAAGACAAGAAAAGAAACGATTTTCAATTACATATTGTAACTTAAGCTAAGTTCTCTCTGACGTATTGAGATGCAACAAAACAAATAGCGTTTTTTCTTTTCCTTTCAGTAAAAAACATTATCTATGTACTCCCCGTGAAGCAGCTGGTTTCATTGAATAGCCTTGAGCACAAGCGTTAAAAATTGTGGAAGACTCCAATCAGTGGAAAAGATAAAAACCTAACAGCTACGTTTCCGTGAGCCGCTTTTCAAAGTGACAGTAAGTGTTGATCTTAAAGTAACGTTGTTCGTCATTCGATTAATTCATCAGTCCCGCTAGCGTCTTCGCCACGAATTTACTGGACCTTGAGTTAAAATCGTAAGTACTGTATACAATTTTCCAAAACTTTAAATCTCTTTAGGTTTCATAAAGAACTGAAAAATTAGCGGTTGCTTGGTTACAATTGTTTTGAACTTTTCTGACAGGTCCAAGAATTGTGTTTCAAACATTAAAGAAACGAACAAGAAAAGAAAATCCGATATAATTCCATTTAGTTTGCCGAGGACTTACATATGAATTTCAAGTAGTACGTATGAAAGGGATTTGTTTCGAAGTTAAGTCTTTTTGTTCTGCATAATTGTCAAATATATTGATCGAGATTTTCAGTTGTAAAAGGAAAAGTCATGTTTACATTTCTAATTCATTTCCGCTGGGTTTAAAGCTTCTGCTAATTTTCTTTTGGATTTTAAAAATTCATCTTTAGATTTGTTGTGGATTAAGCTTATCCGAGTTATTTGTTCCGAACGTACCTTCCAGCTCCATTGATATTTACAGTTTTCTCTTCTAAATCACTTATTTTAATCTCCCTGGTTCTACTTCGACTTATTGTGATCCTACAGAATCTAGATAAACTTCGATTCTTCCGCCCTGGCGAAATCTGATAAATCTCTAGTTTATCAATTGAGTTCTGAACGTATCATTTCATCCGATCGTCGTTGCCATTTGAACTTCAAGGCTTTTAAAATATCAATGTCTGTATAAGGTGTGCTATTTTCAGTATTCTCTATTTCTATACGAAATGTATTTACTTTATTCTCCGACCTGCCTGCGTATTTTCAATGCCGAAAATTTAATTAAACGAGGTGCAGTATGCAGAAAAAAGGGGAAGAACTTGAGATTAAAGTTCAAAGGGAAAGTAAAAAATTGTCTTCACTATGGATGGGAAATTCAAACTGTTCATGAAAGACCGATTTTGAATCAAAATTTCAGTACTCAGTTTTCTTTCTCTTTTATCCCAATTGCGTTAATCGTAAAACTCAGCCCAAGACTACTGATAATTACGCCGACAGTCCCAACTTTTCCAAGAGTTGGAAGTCTCAGAATATTAACTGTGGCTTTGTGTTATCATGACATTCCTGACATCACTAATATAAGGCACTTGACAGAAATACATTGACAGAAATCGGTTTGCGTAAGAAAATCGTGAAGAACATTGTTCTTCCTCGCTTCAATGGGGCCTGCGTTGATCGGTAACCTGGCTCGTCAAAGAATTACGCATTTCTGTGATGACTTCATGGCAAGATAAGAAAAACTCAAACAGACCACTGGACACGGAAGCTCAATTCTTTGCCAGCGTTTAATTTCATTTTTGTAAATAATGTAATCAGCTTAGCTCTTTTGGTTAGCCAGCTGCTGTTTTTGTCTGTTATCTTCGAATGAGACTGTACCCCAAAAAGAAATTTATCGCTTCTTATGCATGGAAAAAAAAATCCACGGATAAATAAAACAACGCAATCATTCGAGAAAAATCGAAACGCACTGAGACCGATGACATCAGCGTCGGGCTTAAGAATAAGAGTAACTTCGTTAACTGTTCAGTATTACAGCGAATTCGCAAGTAAGATCAATAATTGCCGTCTTGTTTTAAGAGCTGTGGTCAATTTGGTCCGATATACGTAAACCTATTGATAAACTGGCCTCTTACAAATTTTAAGCGTGTTATTGCTCTTACGATGTTTATTTTCATTTCATTGTTATGGTTTTCCTTTCCACGCCAAGTAAGTGTTCTCACGGTACAATCGATTGTTTTTGTTTTTCGTATTCAGATTGCCACCGGCTTTTTGAACTTGGGATGAAAAGCAGAAATACAAAATAGGTTTCCCGCTGACACAAACGGTTCACGTCTCACTCCTTCAGCGATTTAAACACAATTCTGAATCTTTTAACAGTCAAATTAGTAGCTCCTAGAGGTAAATCTCTGAAGTAATGTGTCCTTAAAATAAAGCAAAGCCTTGGGATCAGCCATTTCGTGGGCTATGCGTCTTGTTTTTATTTCTCGCATAACATAAGTCTTTGGAGGCGATTACGAGCGAGTAGACATTTACCGACAAGGGCGAATTGTCTTCACCCTTGTTTCGTGCAAAAGGTGGGGAAATTAGATGAAAGCAACTGACATTGTTCGGAGATGTCTCACTATCGCCACTAACTGATTCTTCTTGATCTCCAAATTGCGCCTGATCAGCTAACAGGTGCCTTTTTTCGGTGCGTGGATCAGATAATGATAATCATAAAAGCCCTTTTCGGCCAACAATCTAGCTGTGTATAAACGGATGTGTTCGTAGGTACAATTTTAGTTCCGCTGTTGACAATTTTAAAAACCTTTTACAAAAAAAAAAAAGCCCTTCACAAGCCGGTGCTTTAAAAATTGTATTGACGCTTTGAGCCAAAGTAGTCAGAATGTTCAAGAGAAGAAAGCGACTGGGGTGTGAATAATTGTAGTTATCTGATCCTACTCGCATTGTTTGCTGTCTGTAATTTGGGTAATATTGCCCCAACGACTAACAGCATGAGCTGTCAAACAGAATAAATTGCTGTCCATTTAGGGTCAAAATTATTCGTCGATCGCATTTTCCTGGAGGTTTCATAACCGGTGCTAAAGTCGAGCACTTATTGATGTGCGCGGCATTTACCGTTCATTCATAACTAACTGTGCGTGTTACGAGAGCTCCCACAATTTACGTTATTCATAGTTCTGAGACGCTACGCCGAGTTCCGCGTTCTTGTTGTCGGCTATCATACCGTAAGTGGGTAAGGGATGAAAAAATGTAACGTATTCTTGACAAAGGTTTTCGTGGTTTTTAATGTTTTTTTTGTTATTTTCAACAGAAAACGTCGTTAACAAGAGAAAGTATCAGGATTTTACACAAAAACGCAGATAGGAAAGGTCGGTATTTCACATTTTGTCAATGTTTCCTGAATGCGTGTCCTTTTCTAATTTTTATTTTTTAACTCATGTCACATTTGAGTGACTAGCGCCCCAACGTAACAACTTAGCAATACAACATGTTGTGGTAAACGACAGCTCTTATAAATGTCATTTTACTGTAAGTTCATCGCAAAACACAGAGTGCACCATTGCTTCATTTTATAAAACGCTGATAAAGATTGTTCTGTATGAGCGGGGTTGTGTGCTACCATTCCGCTCTTCCGTCTTTTAGGATTTTATGTCAAAGTTCACGCACAGCTCTAAGAAAATAGGGGTCAAAAACTTGGTGGTTTTTCATACAGAAATCAAGTGTAACTTTAACGAATTTGCGCGTCTCTTTGGGGTACTTATAATAATATAATCAATTTACTTCAAGACGTGCCGACAAGCATTACTTTCAAGACCAGTGGCTCACAGACAAAGAACAAGTAAAATAATTGTTTTTTTTTTTTTTTTTCCTGTTGCGGTATCGGAAGAGAGGCGTTTATTTAATTGTGCCTACTGCGGTCATGTCGCTCGGTCACTTCTCAGCTGACCGCAAATTTACATTCTCAACGTTTTGTAACGTGTTTCGCACTTTCCGTTAACACTTCCCGTACTGATTCCCACGCACGGTCACGCTGAAAACCTTAAAACGAATCGCCGACTTTTCAAAATTCCTTGTTTGCACAAGATAGATATGGGAGTAAAGGGCTTGATTTTTTTAAATTGCTCATAGGATCCGGAAAAAAATTTGGTGTTCGCCAAAGCGTGAAAACAAAAGAAATCAGCCCGGCTAACCGGGCCAGCTCGGCTCATGTAATCTGGCCCTAACTCGGCCAATGAATACGAGCCCGATGCATTGAATACTTTTTGTGCAACACGGGTTTAAAAACTCAAAATTTTACATAGAATGTATGAGCTCATTAGCGCTTTTGCCACCCAGAAATTTTGCAGTTTTTTATGGACTATTTCTCCTTGAATATTACTTACAACCAAAGAGCTAAAAATTTCACCATGTACTAAGGTTTTCTAGCTCTTTAGCTGCCTGAAGTCAATTTGTATCTAACATGCTTCTTTCTTTACGCAAAGCCGTATGTAAATGAGCAAAAATGTGAACAATGACGTCAGCATGAATCCGCCTATATGACAGTAAGAACAGACCATTGAAGTGGAAAAAAACGGCTTTGAAAACAAATACGAAAACTTAGAATAGGGTTTGTGGATTGCCTTTGTTTGGAAAGCACTTTTTTCGTTCTTTTTTTCTTTCTGTGTGTAATCAAATTTGTTATGACGCAAGTAATTTAATTGATACAAGACAAAGTGAAACAAAACGAAGCAAAGAAAAGTATTCAAAGATGAATTATTGAAACACGCTCACGGTACCCACATGAGACTACAACAAACGCAGAACTAACCAAAAATAATTAACTAGGCCAAAGAGCATACAAAATGCAAAATACAGCGTGAAACTAAAGAAGCACACAATATAAGACCGATTAACAAAAGCTGCAAGAACGCGAAAACTGAACTAAGCAAAAAAACGTGAAGAGCACTAACAAAGACAATAAATTACGTAATCCTGGCGCCTACAGCTCGAACAAATCGTTTTCTTTTTTTTTTTTTTAACCTAGTGGTGACCAGAATCTTTTCTAACATTTGATTTTGATTTCATTTCACAGAAATGTTAGGATATTTACGTTTTCCTATTTAGTTTCCCTTTGTTTAACGATTTATTAATTGTTTTTGTTTTGTCTATCATCAGATGCCACAGACTCTAAGTTTAACAGTTCTGGCGCTGTTACTTTGTTCACTTTTGCCTTTAATCAGCACCCAACAATGTTTAACGGAGTGCGAAACGTGCCTCCACATATGTACTTTTAATGGAGTGGTTCAGGACAAAATCCTTCAGGATGGATACACTGTTGACGAACTATGCTTCGATCCAGCTACTGAATGTCGACAAAACTGTGAATTGCCGGGCTATAAACCCTATCCTTGCTGGTTCGAGGGAAACTGATAGGACCAAACAAGCTGTGATTTATGCAACAGAATTAAACAAACTTCAACAGTTTCAAAACGACCTCTAGTGTTGTTATTTATGGTATGGTAAGAAGGTACGAACTAGGCTAGCTAGAAGAAACTTAGTAACAGAAGTGCGAAGCATCAAACCCAGCTTACTTGATGGAGTGGAGGGTGCTACGGGAATTTGTTTCACCGTTCTAGACAGAAATTGAAAAAGTGGAGAAAAAAAATATTCATCACGAAGGTGATGGTTGGGAAAAGGTCCATTGTAAAGATAAAGTTGTCGATTGTCATGACTAACCATTATTCGGTTAGATGCTACTCTTTCCAGTACTAAAATCGCCTTTTTGGTACATGAGATTCCCAAATCAATTGCAGCAAATCTCTCCTTTAATGGTAGCCGACACTCAGATCGTTTTTAAAAAATGATACCTCTATTGAAATTGATTAGCTTTCAGAAAAAAAAAAAAAAACTTCAGCGTAAGGTCTAGTTATTTGATTCGCCAGAATTGTACAGTAGAACCGGGAAATCGATGTCTTTTCTCTGAATAATTCTTGATATAAACCCAACTAAAAAATCCAAAATAGTTTCTCCTTCAGCGCACCCTATGCATAGCCGTGTTACCAGATGTTATCAGTCGTAAATAAAATATAACATAGGACGTAGCAAAAATTGAAACCACCTATGGAAAGCCCGTGACTCGATACGTAGGATTGGATATTTTAAAGTCGAAGACATTTAGAAAGAACACTCTGCAAGTTTGAAAATTTTCCTAGATTTGTACATTGTATTTACGCTGCAAGTAAAGGTTGCCACCTGCAATTCTTTCCTTAATACTATCTCATTTACTTTTTGTTTTTCATTTCTTGACTAATCGTACCTGAAATCTTTACATTCAGGGGCTCAAAACCGAGTGTCTTTCTGATTTCATTGTGCCTTTTTCATCTCTGTTGCCCTATTCAGTCTTGGTATCACGTGCATTTATTTATAATTGCAAAGCTTGCAGGACAAGTAACCCAAATTTGGTAAGTTCTACACCTCACTCCTGCACATAGGCAAACTTACATAATACCATGACAAAAAAAAGAAAAGAAAACCTTGACAAACTGCAACAGTTTGGGTACTCATTGGTTTGATTCGTTCTGTTCTCGTTGCTGTCGCCGCAATATTTTGAGAGAGTTTAAGAATTCCAGGACCGCAACGGCAACGGGAACGCTACTAAAACAAAAGGTTCAGTTACATGAGCAGAACAATGGCTGCTGATGTGCGTTACAAATCTTTGTAAATGTCCTCGCGTCCTCTGCAAAACAACAACGTGAAATGACCAAATTTTGCGTTTTATGAAGAACGAGGACGACGACAGCTAATTTTTTTAAATTTCTATTTGTAATTTACCGCTGTGTTACATATTCAGCTTCGAGATAGCTTTGACTGTGAGAAACAAACTTAATGACTTAAGAGTATCGTGAGATTCGTATATAAAATATAAATTCATTTTTGAACAGAAGTTGTCCACGAGTTTCTCAAACTTCCCAGTGTGCTTGGAGGACCGTCTGCACGCTCATTTCGTTTCATGCGACAACGTTTGTGCCTTATCAACCACTTCACTTTAGCTACCCGCTTCAGAAATCAAACTGACAATTGTTGGAGATAGTCAGTTTCAATCTTTTTAAATCTATTCCTTTATTGGCCATGTTTGTTCATTCTTTGTCCATCAAAGCCTCTTCTGTGTTTTTCTTTACTGCACGACCAATATCTCCTGGTCTTCTTCAAGGAGACGTAGTTTTGCAAGGTACTCACAATGACTCAAGACCGTAAGCAATTGTATGTTCTTTAACAAACGACGCTATAGATCAGCAAAGAAGTCATCTGTCGCCTTTTTCGTCGAAGGGTCACTCTTTTTACAACCAGGATCTACACGCAGTGTCTTAAGATGACTTACATCCCAAAACTTGACGCTCTGATCATGAGAACAACTGGCCAGCGTGTTTCCATCTCTTGATATCCGCATTCTTTCCACTGGAAAATCTTTGTGTTCTCCAACTGTACCAACGAAACGATTGGGTAAAATATGCACAGCTCTGATGGTTGTAACGAGGAAAACTTGGCATTAAAATCCCAAAGTACGTTAACTTTATGTATCATCGCATTGTCACAATAAATTGCTATCTCTGGGCATAGAGGAGCTTCCGCCAGAGGAAGTTTGAATATGAATATAGTTTATATCTGACCACTTGCAGCCCAGAGGCTGAATTACGGGTGCAGTGTAAGGTTGAGAACAGACGTCAGCATATCAGGCGCCTCTGGCAGCCGCTTCAATCTATCGATCTCACCTTCCCACCCATCCCACCCCAGGGGAGGACATCCATCACACAGTAATCTCGTGTGTGGGAAATTAACGTCTCCTACCCCAACCCTGCAGGAGACGGGACCTCCATTTATTCGTCCCTATCCGAGAAGACTAGAATATCTAACCATTTCTTGATGTTATAGAAAGGTAGCAAATTCTTCTCAATTATTTTAAGACCTTGAGTGTTGGTCCGGCCGGGGCTCGAACCCTCGACCTCCCGCACAACAGTCCAGCGCTCTATCCATTGAGCTAACCGGGAGGCGGTTGACAAGTTTACAAGGTCGGGGAAGGATGGGATTAAAACGGTACAAAAATGAAGAGAAAGAACATTTCAAAGTGAAAACTCAACCAAAGACTTCTTCGATCTAACATAACTTAATATGTAGTCTTATCATTCAAATGGACAGGTTGAAAGTGTTTGACGAACATCGCTATAAAATGACTGAAGTTATTCTCTGATTCAGCTCTTTCTTTTCTATTTACAACCTCTTTGACGAAATGACTTAAAAACAAAGGACACTTCTATAGTGGAACGAGTAACAAAAATTCAAAAGACAAATTTCAATTCAGCAGCCGGCAAAAGTAATTAAAGAAATATTTGTTTCGGTTTTGCTTTACTACGTTCAGTTATTTGTCTAAAGAAGACTTTGCACCACCTTCTCAACTAATCAATCACGAAACTACAACTACGGGTGATTTGATCACTCGCCTTTTTGCACGCTCGAGGCCATCTATTCAAATAAGTGCCCCCCGGCTGAGCGCTCCCTGGACTAAGGATCACCTCCTATAAAGCACCGCCCCCTTGTTTAGAACCGCCCCCGAGTAAGCACCGTTCCTCAGGAAAAAAATTAATACTAAACCCCGCGCTCAAATAAGCATCAAATCTAGAAATCCGGCGTTAGTTCAGGGAATAAAACTAAAGCACGAGTAGGGCTCGAATTTGAAGACTAACTCAGTCTCGGTGATTTCCTTTCCTCCTTATTTTTTTTTTTTAGTTCGAAGGGGCTAGACACCTCCTCTCTTTCATTTCACTCTTATGCTCAGATCACAAATAGGGAAGCGATATTGAAAAAGTGAAAATATAAAGCAAATCAGTGCAAAGCGCATGCCCATTTTTCCCTACAAAGCGAAACAACAAATGACATATGGTTGTTGTTGTATTTTTTAAATGAATAGGATGATTTATTAAACACCGCTCCAACATACATATATATATACATAAGCGCCATCCCGGAATAAGCACTTCGTTTGAGGTACAAAACGTCGTATCACTCAGTAGAGTAAAAATGCTTTTATTCTGAGTTATGAATGACTCCTTAGGTCTTTCATCTCTGTTAGGATTGCCCATTGAGATTACATTTCACTTCGGTGTTATGAAAGTCAATCATGAGTACACCATACAAACGTTTCGATCTGACTGCTTGTTGAGTGCGGAAACCCGCTGGCCATCAGGCCATTTTGCATCGTCTATTTTGTGAATTGTGATCAAAGACAGAAGTGAAATAAGTAATTTTTTACCTGATTCTAATGTCAAGGTCTAGCTAAAAGAAGTTACTCTAATTTGGCTGAGAATGCTGGAAATCACGTCCTAAAAGAGAACATAATTTAATTTTTTTTTTTCGGAAAACCACCTGGAAGGGAGTGCTGCTTTGTAACAAGGCATGTTTGCAACGCAAGCACACGTACCATCTGCAACATTTTCTAATGATAATCTTGGACTATAGCCTCTTCTGGTCGGGTCACATGAACGCAAACGACATCACATCATTTATTCGTCGCAAAAAATAAGGGACTGTCACCCACCTTATGATTCCGTCCATTGAACCTGTGCAGACGACATTATCACTAACAGCCACACACGAGTCAATGGATAATGGATGACCAGGAAAACGGTCACTTATGTCACCCCACTCACCCCAAGTGAACAGGTTCAGAATGCCATCACCAGTGCCACAAACCACTTTTCGCCCACCCTATAAAGAACATAATTCTTATCAAAATATATGGGATATATGTATCGTCGTATTTTTCTACTCAACAAATATTGCGCTCCACTTTTATGTATCGAGCGCTGTTCTATGGGAAAATCGAAACGCAGACTTCCTATATATAAATATATATACGTATGATGCACGATCCTCGCAGTAGATAGCGCTATTTAAGCAATAGCGAAAATCAGACTTGAAAAAAATCAGGCCTGTACAACTGCGTGACGAGACTAAACAAGGGCTACAAAGGAGACTAATGAGCTTCGAGATATCAGCTGGGAGATATCATTCGTATACTACCTGCATTAACTAGGCCACGCATATTCAGACCCATCGGGCCTGATCAAAAATATTTAACAGATTATAACGAATGATAACTTTTGGTGAACTCATAATGTTGTGAAAATCCTAACGGCAAGAATCAGCTACCAAGTGTCCAGTTAAAAGTGTTGTACCAATGTCACAAATGTGTCTATAGTATTACGAGTGATTTCATTTTTACCTTGACTACAGCAACAGACAGAAGTTCACTTTCCATGTTGTCTGACTGCTGCTCGATCTTTTGACGCCGAATGTTAAATACTGATAAAGAGCCATCACCACTTGGAAAAACAAGGTCGGAAACAAGCCATTAAGTTAGGGATCATCTATTGAAGGGGGCATTGGGATTTTCGGTTTCGCGATCTTGGCTATTTTTAGATCGGTTTTGCGATTTTGCTGTTAATTGCCGTTTGCGAGTTTCAGTTTATTAGCATTTGGTTTTCAGTTTTCGCCAAAAATACTGACGGGTTTTCGGATTCGGTATCCGATGTGGTTTTCCTTTTTTCCGGTTTCTCTTCTATGCTCCACTTGTCACCACTGTACGGTTTTGCATGCGGTTTCGGTTTATATCGAAATTTAATTGCGGTTTTGAAAGATATTTCCTACGGTTCACGGTTTCTACTGGACCCCAATGCCCCCCTCTTTATTCGTTATTATTAAACCGAACAAAAAATCAAGATGGATATACTGGCAAACCCCGTAAGGCCCCTTTTCAGGGCAACCAAGGCGAAGTTGAAGGTCCATAAAAAGCACGAAAAGACCAGTATCCAGCGGGTCACCATCGCAGAATTCTCCCCAATCGATTTCTTGGGAAGTCACAGAAAACTTCCCCCTGACATCTTAAGAATGGCTGTGAAGGAAACAACTATGCAGCAAGTCTGATAGGAAAAGCTTGGTCAATGAAAGCATTCATCATTTTGGCCAAAATTTTACATCAAAAAAGAACCTCAACTTCCCTCTATTGAACAAATGTCACAAACAAAAATCACTAACTTTGGAGAATTTTCAGGTTAATTGGAAAATAAGGAGAATGTATTTAGTTTCAAGCCAATTGTATGAAACACTTGAGGCAGTGTTTCATCATATTTCCACAAACCTCAACGGTAGTCAAGACACTCAACTTTGCATTGTTTCTAACCATGTCAACAATTTTGAATATTACAAAATTAATGCACCTCAGGCATAGCTTTCACAATACCCAACCTCAGAATCTTTGAATGACACTTTATGTATGATATCTTATCAGTTGCAGAAAATTCATCCCCAAGCATCTGTCACTTCATTTTGTTTTCATGTGATTATCCTTCTGATCTCAGTGCCCTTGGAATGTTTTCTCATTGACATTCACCAGTTCACACCTTAAAAATGAGGCATAAGCTGGAAAAATGGCTATTCCTTTAAAAAAGTAACATTAATTTATCATTCTGGTTGAACAGTCTTGCGTAACAGTTTCAATCCACACTTTAGGTCACTATGAGACAATTTAATTTGTGACCTCATCTTACCTTGAAGCTAAAAGAGTTCGTTTCTCTGCATCACAATCCATATCAGAGATGAAGTCTTGATTGTCTGCTACTGTCATGACACAACTTGCTTGCCTTGTGTCCCAGAACTGCAAATATATACCAAAACAAATCAAATAATGATATATGAAAATGAATCACCTTACACTTCAGATTGCTGTGTTATGCTTTTTTCCCCACTTTTTGTTTGAGAGTTCATGTTGGCAAATGTTGATAAAGAAAAACAGAAAAAACACATGTTGTCTGACAGTTGAAATCATCTGCTATGTTAATAAGTGTTCCTAATTCGGTTTTATTTCATTTCATTTCATTCCTTTCACCGGGCTGAGTATCCCAGAATACCATAGGTAAAGAAGAAGCATGCACCAGGCCTTCATGGCGCATCTACTTAAAACAAAGACCACACCAACAAAAAACCAATATTTTTTGGATGGTTTGAATACTTGTGAGTTCAAACAACGTGTGACTACTCTACTCTTCTGGTTTCAATGTACTGTATGAGTTTGTTTATATTTATTCTCTAGGTCAGCTTAGAACCTCCGAGTAGCAACTGAATGCAACAAATGATTCATTCTCCTATCACTTGCAAGCATGCAAGAACCACTGCACTGCCCTGCCCCTGTTTCAGAGGATTCAATTTTAGTGTAACAGTGCAAATTTCAACATTTTTGAGCAAATAACAACACTGCAAAAGTGTAAAATAAACAAAGTACAGAAGTCCTCCTTATCCATTTGACTGCTTTGTGTCACTTCGACTTTGTGTCACTTCAGATTACCTTGGCAAGGAAAAATCGTACCTTCACACAACCATCATCATCCCCTGTAGCTATGAGACTATCTGTTATGACCTTCATACAATAAACTGGGGAGCTAAAATCATAAAAGAAATAGAACATGTTAAAGAGAGCACTTAAACTGGTTAGTTAAAAGGAAACTCCTAGTGAAATGTTAAAACAAATCAAAGTTAAAGAACAAAATTAATATCCACGAGATCCACTAACTGGCTCTTCAAACCTTGATTTCAGGTAGGTCTGGAATAGTGGTAGTTTTGGTAGAAGGATGAAAACTGGAAAAAATCTTGGGAGCAGATATGAATTAACCAAAAACAAAAGAAGCCTTTATTTAAACCTAGGTATAGGCAGGGCTAAACCTGGACCACAACAGTAGATAAGCACTCTCTACTGTGTGTCAGAGGAAAGAGGAAGTACACTCTACAGCTACCCACCAAGCAGCCATTAATAATTCTCAACCATCAAATCTCATGCATGGTTATAGAATAACCAATCTCATGTTTTTGTTGTCTAATATCTAAATAATTATTACCAAGTCTAATATTTACTTGTGTGCTTTTGCAATTGAATGAGCTACTGCTCCTGAATTCATGTCAACAGCCTGCAAGGATTTGTCTTTGGAGCCTGTATAAAGATCTACATACAGCACAAGGTAATAAAGACAACAATTCACTATAATATCTATTCAATAATACAGTGCCACTGAGCAAAAAAAAAAACAGCAGTTAGAAAGAAAACTATAATAATTACTGATCCCCATGAAATTCTATTGTTCTCTCTGCATTAAATCAACGATTGTAGTCTTCAAGATTACAAAACAACTGTATGAGGAAAACAGAGGCAGTCCTTTTTGTTAGCAGGGAAATTATCAGGGGTAATATAATTAAACGCACTAAATAAGCATGCTGCAATATCAAAAATATTGCAGTGTGCAGGCTGCAATATTAAAAATATTGCAGTGTGCAGGTTACAGTTGTTAAAAATATTGCTTCTTCTACTCCTCAGACTTCAAAACCCACGCCCATTTCCGGTGGCTGGCATCTGAAACCCAACTTTTATCAAATTTCTCGCATTCTGAAGCTGTAATTGGCTTTCTAAATCTTTGCTCTATTTAAAAAAAGAAAATGGAAACTCTGCCTTTAAAAGTTGATAAAGAATTAAAGGACTGACAAAAATGTCCAAGCATTACACTACATTGTCTTCGATTTCTGCTGAAATATCTGCCTTTGTAGAGCTCTGTGTAATAAATAATCCTTTGTCTTCCAACGAATCCATCCTCTTTCTAAACCCAGGTTTGCACTGAGTAAAATGACTGAATTCTCTGGCTTATAAAGCGTGCAAATTAGCAGTGTTACATGCCTTGCACGAATTAATTCCATCATTAGAACTGTTTTGAACAACTATAACAATGAGCTACGATTAACAAACCTCGGCACAATTAGAATCTAAGATATATTCATCACAACAAAGAACAATAGCAATGAGCATCACAATTATCACATATATGTGCGACTAAAATTGAAGATCCAACACAGACACAAAACAATAGGATTTCATGGGGATCAATAATTATAATAGATAATTACTTCGGCACATGGCATTATGCCGAAGTAATTATCCATTAAATATCAACTTAATTTGGCCTGAGACTCCTGATAACAATAAGAAAAAAAAATGAATTCTATTTCAGCAAAAAAGAAGAGAAAAAAACTAGCTTGTTACAGCACTACAATAACCATTTCCCTTTCATATACTGAGCCTAAAACAACTTTAACAATCAAAAGATTATAATCAAATGTAGCCACTTCCAAAGTGAATTGTAACCTTTAGACTGCCTACTGCTGGTCTTCTAACTGTTGTACATTATTTTATTTTACAACAAAAAATACATGAACTCTATTTCAGAAAAAAACTAAGAGAAAAAAAAAAAACTAGCTTGTTACAGTTCTAAAATAACCATTCCCCTTTCATTATAATACTGAGCCTAAAACAACTTTAATCAGAGAATGTTTAGAAATACATTTGATAATAAAAATTAACGGTAAAAAACTACGACGTTTCGAAGTCTGCATGACCTCATTATCAAGTAAAATGTTAAAACTGATGTAAAATTGTAGCTCAGAGATTATATACAAATAAAATGTGATAACTTCATTAGAATAATGAGCGTTCATTGTTATTGGTGTTTAGCATGTCAGATCGTGCAGTATATGTTTAAATAAATACTTTTGCACGTATTGAGTCAGACTGCGTGTTTAACTTTGGTTTTTGTTCGCGAATGAATAACATTTCGTGGATTAGGCAGTCCATTTTCCCGCGGCATTTCTTGAGAACGGAAAACATTTTCCCCAGGCCAGCGGACGCTACACCGTGGGCCTCCCTCAGATGCTTGCCAATGACAGAGGCTTTATGTTCTTCTATGCGTTGATGAAGATGGCGTGTGGTATAACCGATATAATCCGCATCGCACGAATCACATTTAAAAGTGTAAACAACGCATTGGTGGTTAATTAAAGCGGGCTTCTCTTCTTGTATCTTGAGCTTTCCCTCGATCTTACGACTCGTGAAAACTGGTTGTAGGTCAGTTCCGATTTTCCGGCCAAGATCTTTCAGCTGATGTCTTACTGTGTCGGCCGATTTTTGGTCTTTAAATGGTAAAGTTATTCTGACAGGTTTTTGTGTAGCCGCGTCAAGTTCAGTTGGGGTTTCGTGACGGCTTTGGATCGTAGAACTCGTGTACCAGGCGATAGCTGAGTTGATGAGTTTCACTGGGTACTTAAGCTTAGTAAACATCCGCTTGAGATGCTGGCATTCCTTCGTAAAAGATTCTTTCGTTGATGACAGGCGGTAAGCTCGGTTCAGCATTGTATTCAGCAGAGATCTTTTGTAACGCTGATCGACATGGCTCTGGTAATGTAAGAGCAGTCCTGTATCAGTTGGTTNGATTATATCGGTTATACCACACGCCATCTTCATCAACGCATAGAAGAACATAAAGCCTCTGTCATTGGCAAGCATCTGAGGGAGGCCCACGGTGTAGCGTCCGCTGGCCTGGGGAAAATGTTTTCCGTTCTCAAGAAATGCCGCGGGAAAATGGACTGCCTAATTCACGAAATGTTATTCATTCGCGAACAAAAACCAAAGCTAAACACGCAGTCTGACTCAATACGTGCAAAAGTATTTATTTAAACATATACTGCACGATCTGACATGCTAAACACCAATAACAATGAACGCTCATTATTCTAATGAAGTTATCACATTTTATTTGTATATAATCTCTGAGCTACAATTTTACATCAGTTTTAACATTTTACTTGATAATGAGGTCATGCAGACTTCGAAACGTCGTAGTTTTTTACCGTTAATTTTTAAAACAACTTTAACAATCAAAATTATTATTAATATTATAATCAAATGTAGCCACTTCCAAAGTGAATTGCAACCTTTAGACTGCCTACTGTTGGTCTTCTAACTGTTGTACATTATTTTATTTTACAACAAAGAAGAACCTTTTGCAAAAAAATTATGAAACAACATTACTCCTTACACAAGCCATCAAGAGAGAAGGTCAGTGCTCTACAAGCCTTTTTATGATGGTGAAGCTCCAGGAGCAAATGATTCTCTTCAGAAACTGCATATGAATAGCTGAAAAATTGAAGAACAAAAAGGAAATTTAGATAAATGCTGTCAAAACTGTTGATTACAAATTTTAATTGTATGCATGCCTGCTCAATTTTTAGCACTTTATTGGTTGAGAACACATCAATTTATCCCAAACAATGCAGAAAGTTGAAAATTGAGCAAAAAAAAAGTGAAACTGAGTGCATAAAGTTGAAATTGAGTGCAGAAAGGTAAAATTGAGTGTAGAAAGTTGTCAGCAAAATTAAAGAACTGGGGCCAGTTGTTCAAAGACCGATTAGCACTAACCCAAGGTTAAATTCTTATCTGAGTTTCTTTAATCCTTTGTTCAAAAGCCTTTTTTGGGATAATATTCCCTATACTTTTTAGAGCATCCAATTACCAAGTTGTAGACAAAAAGAATTCCACTGAATTTCCTTTAAAAGATTTCAGATCTGAAATCGGATTTCACAGTAACCCTGGGTTATCTTAACCCAGCTTTGAACCCAGCCCTGACTTTTCAACAAACTGTATAGAAGTTAACATCAGAGTTAAGGGAAGAGTTCTTTGTCCAACAAACGCTAGAAAAACTAGTTCATGATTCAAATTGATAGGTCAGTTTTTAACCTATTTCCTTAGCTATAAGTCTGACTAAATTAGCTTTTTATGTGACTGAGTGTTCTGACAATAACTTTCACCAATAAAAGCTGTCATATCATCAGTTCAGTCAATTAAAAAGAAGGTCCTTACTATGACTTTCCGAACCCAGTTTCTCACACTACACAAATGGACCATTCCTTCTATCATCCAGGCTGACAGTCAGTGACTGTATTTACAGTATTTCATCATTACTTACAATTATGCTAACCTTGTTGCAATTGATACTTAATAATACTCACACTGAAAACTACTCACAATAAGATAATTATTTAATATTTAATATCAGTTTTAACTCTAAAAACTAAATTATACTTACACCCTTTTAATATTTTTATAAATTAATTACTATTAATTAGCTTAAACTTTACACACCACAATACTTACAATTAACAAACGGTAAACACCACAGCGTATGCTATCGAGTTATGAAAGCACACAGGAGGTTGCTAAGCATGAAAGAAGCATAAGAGTTATGTGAGGTGATAGCCAAGAGTGACTTTAGCTCCATGAGTGCTTACTCACTGCAAACCTCCCAAGTGCATCCATAACTCAATAGTGTACACTGTGGCATTTATCAAAGAAGCATGAGAGTCATGTGAGGTGATTAAGCCAAGAGCGACTCTAGCTGCGTGAGTGCTTAGCAAACCTCCCAAGCGCATCCATAACTCAATAATGTACACTGCGGTATTTACCATGCCTTTGTTTTATAACATAACATAGATACATTAATTGTGGCAAAAGAGTTTTCTTCTATTTAACAAATCTTATGTGACCAGAAAAAACAAGCGCATGCAGAAAACTAGTCTTTGCATCTGCTCACATCAGCAGTGTACACCCATGGGAAATGGTGGATGCTGAATTGACCAATTAGAGCATGTGCTTTACTTTGGTTATATGTTATAATGTGATTTTTTAATTAGCTTACTCTCCATACTGTACAATATTTACAATACCTACACTTGATAAGGCAGTTACAATTTTACAGAGATCAAGACAGCACATGACTCATCACAGACACAATACAAATATACTTCAATTAGATTTTGGAGCTAGAATGGTTAATAACAAAAATTGATAATGCAGATTTTAAATGAATCAAATAGATAAATAAATAAATTATCATAATATAATTGTGTTACAGTTGGGTCATGATTTGCCCTTTGATCTTAAAGGTTTCACATTTCATTTTTAGCTTGCAGTTTTCTTGTAGTCAGTTTTCTTGTATACAGTTTTCTTGTATTCAGTTTATTGTATTCAGTTTTCTTGTATTCTCCATGCTGTGTTGTTATAGTTCGCTTCTTTGTTTATCAAGTCTTTTAGTTGTGTGTGCCATCAGCATTATGGGATCGATATGTAAGTTTTTTAATATTCTGCTTCAGATCTATTAATTTTTTTTCGTATTGCTTGCCTCGTTACTTTGCAACCATTCATTATTTATGTTTTTAGCATGTTGTTTAGCAGTATCACCCCCTCAAAGTTGCATGGAGATCTTCCATGAAATCTAAGTGTTCTTTTATTGTGTTTTCAAGGCAAGCTCATTAAGTACTTTTTGATATTTAATTTTGATATCACATGGTTATTGTGTCCCTTAGGTTTCCCTAAGTTATTTTCGTTGTATTACGTTTGTTAGCCGCCATGCCTGTTCTTACACTAGATCCCTTTGATTTATTTATTTCAATTTACAAGACAATATAGACCCCTAATAAAGTTCATAATATATCCAGGCCCATTTTTGGTGCAATTTAACTGGTCACAATTTTCTTGGCATCGGAACTTTGCCTTGACGTTTGCTTACCACTACAATCTGTTTAGCCGCCCCCCAGTTAGGTCAATTGGTTAGAGCGCCAGGTTGTGCAGGAGGTCAAGGTTTGAGGAGAATTTGCTAGTACCTTTCTATAATATCAAGAAATGGATAGATATTCTAGTCTTCTCGGATAAGGACAAATAAACTGTAGGCCCCGTCTCCAGCAGGGTTAGGGGTAGGAGACGTTAATTTCTCACGCACAAGATTACTGTGTGGTAGATGTCCTCCCCTGGGGTGGGATGGGTGGGTGTTATTGTTTCACAGGGTCCCATTTAAACTAGCTATTTGCTAAACTGGGCTACCCTGTATAAATAATCGTAAATACAAATATCTTAATAATGGTTCCCATCTTTTCCTAAAAATTTAATATTGAAGCTTCTCATTTCTTAAGGCAATAAGCCTTTCAGTCTCCATTTTAGCTTCTAATTTGTATAGAAACAACTGATTTGTTTCTTCTACATTCCCATATACATACTTTACCAAACATCATCAGATGATTAAGTAGATCATTTCTGTTTAAAACGCCAACTTTAACATCTTCGAGATATAAGCTCAGATTTTCACTCCAAAGATTAGACCACCAATTGCAAAATCTGTTCCAAAAGGTGTACAAGCACATGAAAGCAGTCATACTTACACTGTCACCGTTCCATCGATTTCTCCAGCAGCAATAACGTCTCGATTTGGATGAAAGTTTAAATCAAATACTTGGTTATCAAAACTGATATCACCCGGAACACCATCACCTCCATCTACTCCCTGAATAATTCATAATTGAAAAAAAAAGAAAAACGACAGAATTTGAGATATACTAATTATAAGGTAACATTGCACTGTTACACTCGCATGTCAGATTTTGTGTTATTGCTTGCTCAAGACTTTTGACAGTTTTTAATTGCTGGATTTCATGCAACCCCAAAGTAATCAATGACAATATGCACTGTTGGGGAACAAAATTTCAGCTTTATAGCAATAAGAATTAAAATCACGCTGTATATCATGGCTGCTAGGAAAGAGGTCTTTTTTAATGGAGGAATCAGCAAAACAACAGTTGCATGTTAATGGTTCATGGGTAGACCATCAGTACGTCAGTGGACTATCCGTTTCACAAATGACCATTATTTTGATCAGGGCTACTGTATTATTTGTTAACTAGACAATTCCCAAATTGAAGTAATCACATCATGTAATGGAACAAAACACTTTCAATCACTGAAAAATGCAATTATGTGTGATATTACAGAGTTTATATTATATTTGAGCCACATAATTAGGTTATAATGATAAAAATTTTCATACATGGAGCCCACATGACAATAATTGTATCCATTGGGGGCCTGAAGATGTAGCAGCTTAATAATCAGGGTAATAGAAAATAAAAGATTCACAAAGGGTGACTCATAAATATTGACCAACAACTGCTATAGCAGGTGAACAGAATGTGATTAAGGGAGGCATGAATAATCAACTGGTGGTTTTATGTGCTCCATTGCACTTACATGTAATTTATCAAAGAATTATACGGTTTTTTTTTTTTATGCAGTTTCCTTCTTCCTTGTGCTTTCTAACAAATCCTCGGAAACAGTCCATGTATATTCCCTTGCAGGTGTTGTGTGTTTATTATCTCATATTCGGAAGAGCCCTAGACAGGGAGCTGTTCAAATAAAGTATGTAAAGTATGTATATTATTCATATCATTCTTATTTCCTGTGCATGGAAATTAGCAAGTTCTTGTCCTCGCTACTGAACAATAAATTATATGGCTTTTACCCACGTTGCCACGGCCAGTAAGGCTAATTTCCATGAACATGAAAGAATAGCAATCAGATCCGTCAGATATGAAAGGGGTCACGTTGGCTGAATTTCCAAATTTCGTTACACCGTCCAACCAACACCAACAATCCAATATTTTTAAATGTTTCTTAAACTGTTGAGCCATCTTAAATCGCTCCGTGCCATGACGTTCTTCGCCGTGAGAATTTTTTTACGAGGCTTGTGAATTTCTTGGGCATAATGTAAAATCTTGTGAAATTTTTACCAAAATCGCCAATTTGATTCCTTTCCGTAATTGCCTATGGGAGGTATTTAATCTCCTGATTTTGACCAAATATGGGCACCCTAAGACTAAAAATTAACCTCATCATTTTCCAGAAGGCCTAGGAGCTAATTAAAAGCAACTATCTGATATCTCACCTTACCTGAGATTGCTCGTTTGTTTGGGCCGCCATTTTGTTCCATAAGAACACGTGGCTAGCTTACTAGCCCCATAATTCCTTCGGTTAATTGATTCAAAATGGCGGCGGCTTCTTCGAGCGTAATCACAGTTCAGGCACCTATAAAATCCATAACCATACAACACCTTGCTTTATTCATTTGTTGTTTACCACTATTCTCGTTATTTTCTTGTTTGTTGATCGCTCTGGTATGGCATTTCGATGATACTACAAAGACTCATTGCCAGGTGAGAGTGCTTTCCTTCGATGAACCATACCGGTTGGGTGTGCGTATAATGCAAACCGGGTTAAATTAGTGTCATGGTTGTAATATTAGCTTTTATAAAATGACTGAGATACTACGAGCGCAATTGTTTGCCAAACACCTTTCGTTTATTGGTATGGTAAACCCACAGAAAATTGAATCATACTCATGTTGTAATTTAAGTTTATTTTATATTTAATTAGTATATAATTCAAATTTTACTCGCATTCTCCCAACATTCCAAATCGGTTATTAAATTTTGATTAATTCAAAGCTTCAACTTCCCCCCCACAATCCTAAGACATCACCTGGGAATCACCTAGTGTTTGAAGATTGGTTGGCCAGCTCAAATATTCTCCCCCCCCCCCTCCTGTTAACTTAATATGTTGTGTTCAAATGCCCTCTCCAAGTGCTGGGTTTGATGTTCTATTTTTTCGTAAAAGGCTAAAGATCAGTGACTCTGACTTTCTGCTTCTTGACAGCAATTAATTTGACTATTTGAACTACAAAACTTAGATCTTGCAGACCTTTTCTTCTGAGCCATCCAATTGCACAAGTGGACTCTTAAAATACACGGCCATATTAAAAAATTAAACGTGTATTTTGCTGTTCTAATTTCCCACTCCACCCAGGTGAAGTTCATTTTCCACCCCCCCTCCCCAAACAGGCACAGCCAACAATCAAATGCCCTTCAGTTGCCTGCATGAGGGCTTGAAATTGATTTGTGCATTATGCTGGTAAACCCAGAGAAAGTGTGGTCTTAATTTATCATGTCTAACTAGGTAATCTTAAGTTCTTTTGAAAAAAAAAATTAAACAAGTTGCTGATCATGACCAAGAAAGCATTTGTCACAAAGGTTATCAATTGTTTTCTTTCTTACAACTCTATGTTCTTTTTCTTTTAACAAAGAATGTACACTCACTGAAGGTCACTTAAAAGTTGAACTCATGACCAGTGGTTAATAAGGGTAACAGAAATATTCCCCCATAATTTTCTATTTTCTTTTCCTGTTGAACTTTTACTTTCCAATCAGACTGTGAAAGAAGAATTATTTTCTAATACTGGTATGCTATTTCTGATTGATTCCCACAATTTCCTTTTTTCTGAGAGACCTCTTTCTAAGAAATCATGAAACTAAGCACTCCCAGGTCCCTAGACAATTTTTTGACTGGATCATTATCATAACTACAAGTTACATGTAGTTGCAACTGTATTTTGTATCTACTTAGCATGTCATAATTTCAAAAGTGGCCCTTATAATTTCACTTACTGGTATGCTGTAAATCTCCAATGGATTTGTTATTCTTCCTTACATTTAAGGTACCAAACTATTTGCCTTCATTAAGTGCAGCCATTGGGGGAAACATGCCAGAGATGTTTATTTGGAGAGTTGCAATAGCTCTGCATTGCCTTCCACGAATCCTTCTTGCACCTTCTGCAATTCATAAACACTACAAGAATACACAATCAGGCAGAGTATATCACTTAACAACTTGGTGGTTTAAGCCACTCAACTTTTTAAACAGCATTTTGGAAGTAATAGAAAATGGAGCCCTCCTCACATTGACCTACATATCTTCAGTTGAAAATTATGGTAAGCCTTGAAAATTTCAATTGAATCTGAAGAGTAGCATTGGATTGCATTGCTTCTGTGCACTTTCTCTGTGATTGGCTCAGAACACTTGCAGTACTTGTATCTTGCAATTATATGTAGTAGCCAGTCAATGCAGTTATGCTATGCTTTAGGCACTTTAATGATTTTAATTTGAGTCCACTTCATCACAAGGTTTAAGATATTTTTGTGTGTAGTGATCAACTGTTGTGAATTGTGATTCAATCAATTAATCAGCAGACCTTATTTTAAGAGGGAAGCACATGACAGAAGGGAAACTGATGACCCAGTGGTCCTCTGTAGGATAAAGCTTAAAATGTAAAAATGAATGATGATCTATGCTAGATAGGTTTGGTTTTGAACCAAACCTATTTACACCATTTTCACAACTGCTAGTCATTTGCAAATTAGGCTAACACATTTCTTTGGACACATTCTTGTTTAAAAAAGCTTGCTTTTACAGCAACCAACTTCCTTTCATTCAAATTTATTTTGAAAAAGGGTTGATTAATTTTTTTAAATTTTACTGGCATTGATATACATTTATTGATGCCTGGCACTTTCAATTTGAAAGTTAGGTTTTTCTTTTCTTCATTCCTATTAGAACCTCATCAAACATAAAGTGTAATTACCACTGCATGACTGTATTTGTTTCTTTTGTTGGTTTTTTTGTTTGTATGCACATTTTTTTTTCTCTTGTTATCACATTGTTTGTGTTTTTTTCGCTTTTACTTAATCAATATTCTGTTAGGTGTTTTGCATAATTTCGTCTCGTTAAGGCCCTTTTTGCATGTGTTTTTAGCGGACTTGTGCTTTTTCATCGCTATGTTTCATTTATCCAGTTTGCATACCATCTCCGTTTTTGATTTTCGTGTTCCTAGCCGTCCTAGTAATACAACGTTTCTACCGCTTGCTTCGCATCGCTTTTCACTTATATCATACATTTCGTGAAATCAATTAAACGACGTAGCATGTTGGACGTTTGACTACAATATAAAGAATGGGTCGTCTTTGGGTTTACTCAGCAAATGATGGCCAGCAATGTTTTGTCTCTTTTTCTTCCCCCCTCCTCTTTCATAACTGTGCACACGAGACTGACCAGCATAGCTGCTTAGTTTGTCTTGGTTCCTTTGGTATGATAGGACAAGGACTATGATTTACTTTTCCTCCTGTATGAAATGGTAGTCAATTGTAGGTTGCCTTTAAACTTTTGTTAAGTTCTACCCAGGAGCAATGCTTTAAAAAGCAGTGTTGGAGTTATGTCACTTACTTCATTACACAGCACAATGACCCTTGACTAGGTTTAAAACACATAACAGTCAATTGTGAGCCAGTTGAGGAAATATGGCCAGCAAAAATTGTTAGACTTTTTCAAGAATGTTGTAGGGGTTTCTCCAAGGACTTCATGGCATGCTTGTCAAAGTAGAGAGTCACTGATACTAGGTGGGTATGTTGTGGATGAAAGGTGGGTGAAGACTTTACCATTGTAGGGGTTATCAGTCATAATTATTTCAATCAATGGTAACATTGTGAATATTGAGATCTGAAATGTTTACGTTTCAGCTATTCACGAAGCTTCCTTTATTATATTTATGGCGTGCTCCATGGCTTACATGTTTCTGTCATGCATTCTATCTGGGTTGACAACAAGCAAACCAATGAGCATTGAGGTATGTACACTGTGGAAATTACCAATTCACCATTAGGGAATGGATCCAAATCTTGTAAGACTTACAGTTTTTTTTTCTGTCTTACATTATTTTGTTCACTCTCCAGTTAATCAAACTGGAAAAATTATTGTTTAATTAGCTCTTTCAGTCATTAAAAGAATTCAGTGTAGGAATGGCAATTTGTGCAGCCTGTATCACACATTCACCCAATTGTCTTAAACTTTCTGTAATTTTTCAGGATTCCACCTTATTCAGAAAAAAAGTGTTTACAATGCTCTTTAACTATTTCACCTTTGGCATGGCAGTTTATTTCTTCTTCAGACACAATTGGTATTGTGAACCTGGTGGTATCCTTTGAATAAAGGCTGATAGTTTCTATTGAAAGAAACTGTTTGGGGCTGCGTCGGTGGGGGTCACAAAATAATTTGGATATATCAACAACGTTGAAATGGTAGATTGGCCACCGTAACGATTACAAAAGCTGACGTTTCGAGCGTTAGCCCTTCGAGCG